CGGGGGGGGGGAGGAACCAACGTCTCACTCGATCGGTCTCACTATCGATCTCAGTATCGGTCTCGCTCGATCGATCTCCCTCGATCGATCTCACAATCGATCCCACTCGATCTATCTCACAATTGATCTGACTATCGATCTCACAATCGATCCCACAATCGATCTCACAATCGGTATCACATTCGGTCTCACTATCGATCTCACTATCGATATCACAACCGCTCTCACAATCAACGTCATCATCATCATCACCATCAACAACAATATCAACATCAACATCATCATCACCAACATCATCATAATCGGGACACCGTCCTCATCATCAACACCAACATCATCATCATCACGGTCATCAACATCATCGGGACACCACCATCATCATCATCATCATCACCATCATCATCATCATCATCAACATCATCATCATCATCATCAACAGCATAATCGGGACACAGCCATCGTCATCATCATCATCAGGAGCAGCATCATCATCGGGACACCATCTTGATCACCATCGTTACCATCATCATCATCATCATCAGCATCATCATCATCATCGGGACACCATCATCACCATCTCATCTTCATCATCGACATCATCATCAGCATCATCATCATCATCATCATCATCATCATCTTCATCGTCATCATCGGGGCACCATCATCATCATTACCAACATCAGCATCAACATCATCATCATCATCATCATCATCGCAATCATCATCATCACCATCGGGTCGCCATCATCATCAACATCATCATCATCATCATCATCATCACCATCAGAATAATCATCATCATCGGGACGCCATAATCATCATCAACCTCATTTTCATCAACATCATCATTATCGGGACACATCATAATCAGCATCATCAACATCAACATCATCATACTCATCATCATCGGAACACCATCATCGTCATCATCATGATCATCAACATAATCATCATGAACATCATCATGCTCATCATCGGGACACCATCAGCATCATCATCATCGTCATCATCATCATCATCATCGATTTCATCATCATCATCATCATCATCATCATCATCATCGGGACACCATCATCATATCATCATCATCATCGTCCTCATCATCATCATCAGCATCACCATCATTATCATCATCGTCATCATCATCATCAGCAGCATCATCATCATCATCAGCATCACCATCATCATCATCATCATCATCATCATCTCATCATCTCATCATCATCATCATCATCATCATCATCATCATCATCATCATCATCATCATCATCATCATCATCATCATCATCGCGGGACACCGCGGGACACCGGCGGGACACCGCGGGGCACCGCGGGACACCGCGGGACACCGCGGGACACCTGCGGGACACCGCGGGCCACCGGCCGCCCGGAAGGGAGTCATTTGGTCCGGCCGCGCCTCAGCCACACGGGACACCAGCGGGACACCGGCGGGACGCCGCGGGCCACCGGCCGCCAAGAAGGGAGACATTTGGTCCGGCCGCGCCTCAGCCACAGGAGATTTTTTCTCGCCTGCACACGCAGCTTCGCCTCGCCCGCACGCACGGCACGCACGAACACGAAACCGAAATCGATTTCCCGGTAGGGGGGCTCTCCGTTCCACTTCGATCTCACCCCCTCACCTCCGACTGATAATAATAAGCATCATACTACGACTAAGAATAATAAGACGAATCATAATAACGCTAATACTTCTAATAATAATAATAATGATGAGGAGGAGGAGGAGGAGGAGGAGGAGGAGGAGGAGGGGCGAAATGGGCACTCAGCGAAACTTCGAACCATCTTGCAGCCCCGCCGCCCGAACACACCACGGCCACTACCATTGCCGCGACCATCACTGCTTCCAGTACTGGGCGCAGCACCTCTTAGCAGTACCAGCCTGGACACTGAGGCAGTTGTTTCCCGCGGAAGTTGGCTTTCTGTCTTTTCTCCCCCCTTTCCTCCTCTTGCTCCTGCCCCCCCTCCTCTCTCCTCCCTTCCTCCTTTCTTCCTTCCTGCCGTCCTTCCCCACCTCCCTTTCTCCTCCTCTGCTTTCCTCCTCCCTCCCTCCCTCCTCCCCTCCCCGCACCTCTTATCTCATTCCTTCTTCCTTTTCCTCCGCCACTCCCTCAGGCGTTTCGCGCTCGGGCTGTTGGAGCGGCCCGATTTCGCGAGACTCCCGGCGCCGCCTGCCCTGCCCAGGGCGACGGTGCAACCCAAACGGCTGAGCGGCGCCATAGCCGCTCGCGCTCGCCCGCGTGGCACCGCAGGCTGCGGAGGCGGAGGGCCAGCGCGCGGGCCACCCTGCGCCTGGAGGCCGCTCGCCGGGCGCTGGCAGGCCACCACGGCGAGCGCTTCGCGAGCCCCGCGGCCGCCGCGGCCATGCCGCCGCATGCTGGAGGGGCTGGCGCTGTTGCAAGTGAGCCTGGGGGCAGGAAGGTGCTATTGGGGCCCAAGGAACCGCACTGGATGTGCCCAGGGTGTCGCCAGGAGGGGCTCCGGGCCGACCGCGTGGCGTGCTTCCGCGGACGTGGCGCCCCAGGCCCTGTCGTGCGCTAGGCCGGGCAGGCGCACCAGGAGGCCATGGCCGTGCGCGGATCCTCCGCCAGGGCCAAGTCGCAGCCCCGCCCCCGCTTGCTCAGCGCGGGGGCGGCGGAGCGGATTGCCCTACGTTGCAGCGGCTGGAGGCGGGCATGGTCAACATCGCGGCGGCGATGGAGACGCCCACCACGGGCGGGAGCGCCAGCGGAGGCACCCGCGGCGGCCGCGGGACCCCAGCCATCGAACAAGGAGCCTCCCAGTCCACCGAGCCCGCGGTGGGCCCTGCCGCCCTGGGGCTCGACAGCAAGATCGCCAGCCTCGAGCAAACGATCCCCGCGCTGCGCAAAGGTGGCATCGACGTGGCCCAGCTCGAGGCAGACGTGTCCAAGCTCAAGCAGCAGCGCGCCGCAGCTAGAGGACCTCAGGCCGAAGTCAGCTCCCTGGGCGCGAAGCTGGACCATGCCCGAACGAAACGAGTCCAGCTGCAGGCTGAGCTCAAACACAAGCCGTCCGACAGTCCGACGTGCAGGAGGCCAAGAAGATGGTCGAGGAGGCGGAGAAGGCTGTGCTGGACCACGTAGCTGCCATCACCCAGGCCACTGCCACCATCGCGGAGTTGGAGGCCAGCCTCAGCCTGGCCATGCTGCGCGCCATGCTTCTGGCGGCCGCTCCAGCGCCGTCGGCCGAGACGGAGCGCGACCTCCAGCGCTTCTTGGCCAGGGCACCAGAGGCAGCGAACCTGGACCCTGAAGTGGTGGGAATGGTTGCCAAGCTCCTCGCCGAGCACCTCTCGTGGGTTGCGGCCAACCCGAAAGACCGCGCGGAGGTCGAGGAGGATGGCGAGTAGGTGCCAGACCCAGCAGACACGGACCTCGGCGACGGCGACTTCGAGGATATCGCCAAGGCACGCAAGTCGGAGGACAGCGAGAGAGCCTTCGAGGACCTGTGCCAGCGCAGGGGAATGCGCAAGAGGCAGCGCCTTGAGCAGAAGCAGGAGCACGTTGGAGTTGATGAGGTGACCTCTGAACGCAGCGCGTCTGAGGATGAGCAGCAGCTGGCCCGCCTCAGTTTTGTGACGGCCAACCTGACCTCTTGAGGCGCCGGACGGGGCATCCTTCCGCTCGCCCAGGGCCCGGTCCTCGGCGCGCGGGAACACGCGCAGTCACGAGGGCGACTCTTGGAGCTGCGGCGCACGTTAAGGAGCGAGGGCTGGGCCATGGCAGTCGCCCCAACCATCATCAACAACAAGGGCTTCCAGGGCGGTGTGGCCGTGCTGGCGAAGAAGTGCATCGACTTCTGGTATGACCAGCAGTGCCAGATCCAGTGGCCAGGCAGAGCGTGTGTTGGGCGCCCTCGTCTACCCGGGGTGGGCTGCGCTCTCTCACCTCCCGGCCCCCGCTGACGCGGCCGGGCTGCAAGCCCACTGCCGAGGGGCAGACTGTGCAGACGGCAGCCTGCCGTATTTTGGCGACAATATGGCGGCGTTGGCCGCCCGAGCACGCGGGTGCGCGTGCGCCGCCAGCCCAGCGCAGACTGATGCTGGGCACTGGCGCCGAGTGCGGCGCGGCGACTTCGCGTGCAGTGCGTGTCTCAAGGCGAAGGCGCACCGCCGCCGCCCCTCAGACGGAGGGCGAGTGGCGGGTCGCCCTCAATTCTTGGGCCGACGAGGCGGCCAATGAGGCATTCAACCTGTGGCCCAGGTGGGCCCAAAACGAGGCCGCCCTGGAGGATGCCTGCGCTGAGGCGCGGTGTGGACTGTGGAACCTGGGGCGGGAGCTTGCGTGTGGGCCTGCTCCCATGGTGGAGTGGGCTCACTTGCCCCCGCGTGCGCGGCCCCCGGCTTTTGTGCGCCCGTGCTTTCTGCGTCGCGATCTGTACGAGGTGGCGGACGGCCGCTGGCGGTGCGTTCGGTGCTTGCACGGCTTCTGGAGTTAGAAGGCTGGGATTTCCTCCGACTGTGGGCGCGAGGCGCTCGCAGGCTCTCATGTCTTGTGGGGTGCGGTGATTGGCCCTGAGGGCTGCTGACGTGAGCAGGGTGTCTTCATGCTGTGCTGTGTGCAATACGCGCAGCATGCCCAGCTGCACCCTGTCGGCCTGGTCAAGAGCCGCCCAGCAAAACAGCTTGGTTTTGTCTTTGACAAAGTGGGCAAGGAGTGGCGGAGCCGCTCCGAGCGTGGCTTCCGCCCCAGAACTGGGAGGAAGGAGGTCGTCCTTGAGTGTTGGGCCTTCAACGATCAGTTCGTAGTGCACCTCTGCAGCTGGTATTTTCGGAGTCCACAGGGGGAGCGTAACAGAATCCGCCACTCCCTTCTCCTCCTCCTTCTCTCCTCCCTCCTGCTTCCTCCTCCGTCTCCCCTCGTCCCTCCTCTCCCTTCCTCCTTCCTTCCCTCCCTCCCTCCCTCCTTCCCTCCTCTCTCCCACTTCCCCCCGCCCGTGCCCAACCTTGCGTTCGATCCCCAGGTCGCCGCGTGGACGGGCTCGGCCGCTTTCGTGCCCGTGGAGGCCCTCCGCTCACCCGTGACATCCCCCCGCGATACAGCCAAGGGAAGAAACGGGCGAGGGCGAGGGCGAGGACGATATGATGATGATGATGATGATGATGATGATGATGATGATGATGATGATGATGCTGATGATGATGATTATGATGATGATGATGCTGATGATGCTGCTGATGATGATGATGATGCTGATAATGGTGATGATGAGGATGATGATGCTGATGATGGTGATGATGATAATGATGATGACGATGAGCGAGGGTGAGGATACTGATGATGGTACTGGTGATGATGATGATGATGATGATCATGGTGCTGCTGACGAGGGTGAACATGATGACGATGATGGCGGTGGTCATGATGACGGCGATGATAACGATGATGCTGATGATGGTGATGCTGCTGATGCTGCTGATGCTGATGATGCTGTGGATGATGATGGCGATGAGGACGATGAGGGCGATCATGATGATGACGACGATGACGCTGATGATGATGGTGATGATGTTGCTGATGCTGATGGTACTTCTGATGATGCTGATGCTGCTAATGATGCTGATGCTGGTGATGATCGTGCTGCTGATGACGATGATGATGGCGGTGGTGGATGTGATGACGATGTCGATGACGACGATGATGATGATGTTGATGATGATGTTGATGATGATGCTTATGATGCTGATGGTGGTGGTGTTGGTGGTGATGATTTAGACAATGAAGATGATGGTGGTGATTTTGACGACGATGACGATGATGAGGCTGCTGATACTGATGATCCAAACGATGATGATGCTGCTGCTGATGTTGATGAAGAGAAGGAGGGGTATGAGGTTAAATTGAGGATGGGGATAAGGGTGAGGAGGATGATGTCGACGCCGATGACGGTGACGATGACGACAGCTATGATGATGCTGATGATGATGATGATGTTGTTGTTGTGATTGTTGTTGTTATTGATGATGATCATGATGACGATGCCGATGATGATGACGATGATGATGGTGATGACGATGATGCTGCTGATGATGATTCTGATGGTGATGATGATGATGCAAAAATTGATGATGATGGTGATGATGATGATGATGCGGCTGTTGCTGATTATGATGATGATGATGACGATGCTGATGATGATGGCGATGCTGATGTCGATCGTGATGATGCTGATTATGATTATGATGATGGTGATGGTGATGATGCTGGTGATGATGCTGATGATTATGATGATGGTGCTGATGCTGCTGCTGATGATGATGATGATGATGATGAGAGTGATGATCATGATGATGCTGATGATGCTGATGCTGATGCTGATGCTGATGCTGATGATGATGAATATGATGATGATGATGATGATGATGATGATGATGATGATGATGATGATGATGATGAGGGTGATGATGATGATGATGATGATGATGATGATGATGATGATGATAATGATGATGATTATTATTTTTGATGATGATGATGATGATGATGATGATGATGATGATGATGATGATGATGATGATGATGATGATGATGATGGTAACGATAACGATGGCGATGCTGAGGTCGGCAATGTCACTGACTTTCTGTCGATGATGGCGGCGGCGATTATCCCAAATCAGAGCTTGCCTCTGTAGGGGTTCTAGCGGATTCATATGGATAGGTGAGGTGCGTCGCCGATTTCGGTGGCCGGCCTGTGTGCCCGGGTGCCCGGGTGCCCGGGGGTGCAGGGGTGCAGGGGTGCCTGGGTGCCTGGGGGTGCCCAGGTGCCGGGCTGCCCAGAGGCTCTATCGCCTGATAGCCCTTTAGCCCTATCGCCCTATAGCCCTATGGCCCTATAGCTCTGTTGCCCTATAGCCTGATAGCCCAATAGCCCAATAGCCCATATAGGCCAATAGCCCATATAACCCTATAGCCCTGTAGCCCTATAGCTCTATAACCCTATAGCCCTATAGTCCTACAGCCCGATAGCCCAATATCCCTGTAGCCCTACCTATAGCCTCATAGTCCTGTAGCCCTATAGCCCTATAGCCCTACATCCCCATGTCCCTACAGGCCTATTGCCCTTTAGCCCTACAGCCCTATGGCCCTACACCTTAGGCGATGCTTAAGAAAACTTGAGTTTTCGGCCAGAGTCTCGATTATTCTTAACGTTTCAATGTAAATCTTATGATTTTAATGGAAATGTTGGGTTTTTATTCAAGTTCTGAGACTATGAATTTCTTAACCCATGATTTCTTAATCATTTCGCAGGGTGTACAGCCCTATAGCACTAGCTCTATAGCCCTAGCCCTCATGGCCTTCATAGCCCTCGCAGACTTCATAAACCTAAGGAGCAACTTCAAATTGATCTCATGTAACATTCGGAACCTTTCAGATTTGGGTTTTTCTCCGGTATCATAATGACCATGACGATGATGCTGAGGATGATAAGGTTGTTGGTGATGAAGGTAATGATGACGAACAT